CTTGTTTTACAACGTCGTTGCGAAGCGACGAAAACCCAATCCCGATGGCAAACACCGGGGGGGGCGGATGGGAGGTGGGGGGGGTTATGGGAGCAGCAGTTCCTTGCTTTCCTTATTCGTTTGACCAGATCATGCATCCCCTCCAGACTGAGCATCAGTCCTTCTCCTACTGGAGACATGATCAACAGGCCAGGTGCTTTCCTACGTGAGGTCGGGCGTCTGTCGCGTTCCACCCGTCCGATGATGTCATGCCTGTCGCTTGCTTTTCCTCCGCACTTGCACCGAGCTTGGAGTATTAAAACATTTTGGCATACGTGCTGTTTGGTCGAGTATTTACTATTTCTGAACTGCTGCACACACAGTATATGGCGTGGACTTACCCCTCCGTTTAATGTCTTCAAGTTTGAGAACAGCAATTCGGTTCGACCATCGTAGCCAAATGTACTTTCTGGATTTGTGCTACCGATCCGTCCGCAAACCGAGGCCTTTTGTTGCCCCGCCCTCCTGTTTTCAGTTTCATGCCCTCGCGCGCGTGTTCATTTTGCTATCCCCATGTAAAACGGGTACCCAGATTACCTTCTACTTCTTTCATTGGACGAAGGGTTCTCCGGACGAGTTCACCCAGGGGGAGTGGAACGGTTTGACGTTTTGGGAGCAGCTTGACGCAGGGGTGCCGTGGACGAAGACCAAGAAGTTTATGATGATCGTACCCACCGTCTTGTGAGTCAATAATTATAGTGTTTGCAGCCCTTTTCTCATGGAAGGCAGCAGTGGTGAAGCACTGGCATCGTTTTCACCTCGGGATGAGGGGTCCTGGGTTCATGGCATGCCGCGAATGCTACGGTTGGTCCACATTGAGGAAAATTTTGTGATGTGGTAAATACATTCTCTTCTCCAGCACGAGAATTGCTTGTCGAAGGTCTGAGAGAACAGTCACGTACGCACGTATGGAGAACTTGCCGAGGCCACGTAGCTAACGAGGAAGACCCCTTTGGTTAAATTTTAGGGAAATAGACAAAAGTGTGTATACCCACCCCTTTCTCACACAGAAGTGGGTATTCGAAAATTTGCTTTGCGCAGACCGCTCGTGACAGGGCACAACCACTCAAGATAACATTGCGATGCATGGAGAACATGAACAGAGGCCACGCACAGCATGACTATCAACGTGTTTTTACTTACGGGCACGTCTTCACCATCCAGCTGCGACACTCAAAACCTCAACAGATTGCCCGACTTTGTCGGAAATTCCGGAACCTATTACTTTTCATGTACCCACCTTTGTCTGCTTTGTGACCCACGTTTGTCCGAAATGTATCCACTACTGTTGTTGTCCGAAATGTATATACACTTTTGTGTCACTAGACAATCGACCTCCACGTCACCGCACGGGGAACTTTTCGAATGAAAAAAACAGACAAAAGTGGGTGTACCACATTCGGACATAGGTGGTTCACGAAGCAGACAAAAGGTGGGTGCATGAAAAATGAGCAGGTTCCGGTGGGTATACGCAAGGGAATTTCCGACAAAACCGGGCAACCTGTTGAGGTCTTGTGCGCCGCGGCTCTCTGTAAGGTTAAGACTTGCCCGAAAGTTAGAAGTGAACAGTTTACGTTCATCCTGTGCATGGACCCTGCCCATGTTTTGCATGCATCGGAATGATATGTTGAGTGGCTGTGCCCTGTCACGAGCCGTCTCCGCAAAGCAAATTGTCGAGTTCCCACTTTTGTCTAAGAAAGGGGGTGGGTATACCCACTCTTATCTATTTCCTATTATCATACGTCCTGCAAATCGTCGCTGAATCTTGCCCGAGCAATCATGCTTTGTTGCGTCGTGTGCAGGAAGTAGAAATGCCTTCTTTTTTTTTTTGCTGCGGATGTCTGTGTTGTCTCTTTTGTTCATCATCGTGCCGACGTACTAGTTTGGACACTTGAGATCGCTTCAACACCGCCTAGTGCAACACCTCCGTCCGTCTGATAGTCCACCATAAGCATGACCTGCACCCACCTCTCCTCGTTCCTTCCTCGCCCGCCCTCATCGGCTGCTTCCCCAGCTTCGTCCTGATTTTCGTGCCCCCCGAAATTTTGCGCTTGATTTTGTGTGTGTGTGTGTGTGTGTGTGTGTTTTTTTTCAGGTGTCTGATCCCGCTGGTGGTTAGCGATTACCAACCAAGATACCTAGCGGTTAACCTGCCGGTGTGCTGTATTCTCCTCTTGGCAAAGTCCCCCCTCATGCACAGGGTGCGTATACTCCACATCAACGCCACCACCGGCATCGACGACCGCGTAAAGAAGGAGTGAGGATACGATAGGACAACTCAGGCAGGGAGTTGCGCGCGGGCGTGGTATGAGGGTCGGCGAGGAGTTGCATGAGCCGCTGGCAGCCGGTTGCCCCACGTGTGACTTAACTTCTATGAGATCGAGAAACAGCTGGGCACGGAGGGTCAGATGAAGGACTCGACGAATGAGCTACAAAAGCACCACACGGATGGGGGGGGAACTGTAGTCGCGTACGGTTTGGTGCACCGGTAACCGGGCGGGAGCTAGCGCACGGGCGGACTTCTGTATGGGGTATTCCGAGAGCGCATGGCTTTTGTTTTTTTTTTCCAAGAAGATGGGGGAGGAGATTGATGCATGTGCCCTTGTGACGAGAGGAGCGGTCCATGACGAAGGCGTGGGAGGGTGCGGGGGTTGACGCTGCCAGAGGAGGATAGGAGCACTGCCCGCCGCGGGGAGCGCGAGTTGGCGCTTCGTGTGGCTTTTTTTGGTGAGCGCCACTACCACTGGTGAGGTATGGAGGGTTGTGGTGGGTGCTGGACGGGCCCTGCTTAGCACCACATCCCGGGAACGCGGCAAGCATCACGGCGTTGCTTCATTTCCCGTACGGGAAGGAAGGCGGTCTTGACCTTTTCTCTGGTCGTGCTCCGCAGCAAGCAACAACGACAGGGGGCCGCTGTTGTAGCTTTTGCGCGGGGCGGGGGTGCGGCATAGTTCGATGGGAAGATGGAGCGCCGCCCGCCCCGGCTGCCTCTGGATCACGGAGCTCGGATCACCAATCTCGTGCCCGTTGGCGAACACAACTCCGCCATATGCAGAAGTAGTTGGCTGAAGCTGGTGTAGCTAAGCGGGTGCAGCTACTCCTGTCGACGTCGCTACTGGCAGGCCAGGGTAGGTTTATGGCCAATGCGGCGGGAAAGGTGACAGCACGTCGGTATGTTTGTGGGTGCCTCGTTCTCCTCCCCCCCCCCTTAAAGTTGTTGGGTTGGGATTTCTTGCCGGCGCTGGAAAAAGACAAACTCGTGTAGTTTCGTGTCGGGGGTTTCCCATGCGGTATTGTACTAGGTTGGGTGTTGCGAATTGCGTCTTGGTTGCGTGGCGGCTTGGTTGGCCTACTACCTGGCTGCGTCAACCAGGTACTGCTGTGTACCCATTTTCGGTAGGGCGTGCTGAAGTTTGAGTTTGAGTATCGTTGGTGCTTGGGACGGTGCGCGTGGTGCTTTGCGGTGGGGTGTGGATTGGGTACAGCAGTATCAGGTCGGCCAGTCGTTGAAGAAAATTCACATTGGGGGAACCTCGGCTGCTGTACTGTCGTCGCGTGCCTGTTGCAACTCCTATGCCGTATCGTGTTTGGGTTTTTGTGGCCGTTGAACGGCCCCCGGTGTCAATACATGTAAATATATAGCGCTTTGGCGAAACTTTGGGCGGAAAAATTAGTACGGCGCAATTTGTGGCCAAAGAACGCGCAGTTATGCTTGCCACATGCGGAATGCTTGCCACATGCGGCCACCGGTTGCCGCGATGCCCCCGTGCACTGCGTGTTCTTACGGTTTTGTGCGAACGCTAGAAAGGGCCCTCGACTCATCGCAACAACAGCTGCTCGTCACGAGGCACGGGCCGCGTACCAGATATTGTACCAGCACAACTCGCTTGATTCCATCGCACCAGCACGTGAATCCGTCCATGTTCTTGTGGCACCGTGGATAAGGACAACGTAAGCCTTGGGCATTTAGCTCAACGCCAATTAAAGCTTGGGCGTTTAATGCACCTTGCTTTGAGAGCAAACCCTACCTATGTGATGCCACTTGTTGCAAACAAATCAAAGCAACCGGTTGGGCAAACGCCATACAGACAGTAGCGCCGGCATCGAGGTTCTCAAACAACAGTGTCTCACATACGCAAAATATTCGTTCCTCGTTAGTCCTCCGTGCTCGACGCAACCTATTTGATCAGGCCCTCGCTGTACTAGCCTACCCCCCCCTCCCCCCCCTCCCTTCTTTTACGGCAAGGAGAGCTGCGCAGCAATGTTTACCGGGTATCCCCGACCCGAACGTGAGCACGTTCTGTGTAGAGTGATATTTGATTTTGGGGCACACGCCGTTGGGGTTCCAGCGTTCCCCCGCCAAGAACGGCCGTGAAGGTTCTTAACCGGACAAAAGCAGTCCTATGTGTCTTTGCAGCAGACTTCCGACGACGTCGGCGACTAAAGCGGGCAAAAAAGGGGGGAGAGGGGGCGATGCATCGATACCATAAACTTTGGAATCGCCTGTTTTTCATCTGTTTGTACATTCTCGTCCTGTCTAAAACGCGAGCCCAACGCGTTTCTTCGCACGGTGGTCGATCACTTCGTCTCTAGGGAAAGGTCCTGCCTCCTGCAATACCGCTGTACTGGGGGTGCAGAACGAGCGGGAGAGAATAAGCCAACCTTCCCTCGCCCGCCCGCCTTGACATCAAAAGGGGCCCAATATGCTACACGGGAGACAAAACAAACATGAACACGGTCTATCATTTTTGGTACAGAGTGGATGCCGCTTTCTCCCTGCGTTCTTTACATCAACAATCCAGTCTCGATATCTAAATGATGCCAACTTTCCTCAACCCGTCTCTAGCGGCCACGTTGTAAGCCTCCGCCAGCGTCGGGTAGTTGAACACCGCCGTCCGGAAGTAATCCACGGAGCCTCCCTGGGCCATGACGACCTGGCGTGGGCACAGATGCAGTGTCGCGCGGCCATATGCGAAAGACGGAGCACGATCGATCGCATCGTCTGCGGAGGTGTCACATTTTCTACTAAATTGCTTCCTGCTTTCAAGGGGGGATTAAATTCTCTCGCTCCTCGTGCACGATCGGTGCAACCCCTACCACAGCTCCTTTTTCTTCTCCCGCAGTACACAAATACAGTAGTTCTCTCCTCTTCCTCCGTTCACCTGGCCGATGTGGATGATTTCTGTCGCCCCCTCGCCGAACGCGTGCACCCCTAGCAGCTTGAGCGTTTTCGTGTCGAACAAGAGCTTCAAGAAACCGTCCACCCCTCCCAGCATTTGACCCTTGGCGAGCTGCAGCAGCAAGAGGAGCGCAGTAACAAGATGGCCAACACAGCAAAAAAGGGGAGTTCCACACGGCCTTTCTTAGAAACAAACGCTGTTGCCTCTCGAACCGAGGCAGCACGCCAACATAATTCAAAAACCTTGCCGGTGTTGTTATATCTGCGCACCAAAGTTCCTTGCTCAACCGGTGGTCCCTCCCCGCCCAAAGGTGCGCCCCTGCTTGCCGCACAGCAGACGCGCGCAACAAAAAACAAGGCAGCAGCCAGTGGCCTTCACCTACGAGTCAACCCCATCGTTTCGAGACGCATGCAGCAGTGGGTGCGCGAAGAGCGCGGCTGCAAGAAGGGCGGTGCGTCGTCCCCCCTCGTTTCCCCTCAACCCATCTCCTGTTTCCCCTCAACCCACCTCTCGTTTCCCCTCAACCCACCTCTCGGTAGTCCGCGAGACCGACCTCGTAGCTCACGTGCGCCCGCGTAAGCTGGGCCTCCGTCTTCCCAACCATGGATATCTCGGGGATGGTGTAGATGCCTGCCGCGAACCGCCGCGTAACGCGCGTCAGGACTCGTCAGGATAAGTATGCACCAAACTCAGGGCAAGCGGGCGTAACATATTTAAGGCTAGTGCAGCAAGAAGCATCACGTCAACCGCGGCGGTCGCCCCCAGCGCGTAGGGTAGGAAAACGGCGTCGTTCCGATGAACCTGTGTTACGGAGTAACTCACGTTTCGTGTTCGGTTATCGCAGAGCATGTTGAATGTCGAGCACTTCCTCACCGTACGGGAAGAGGAGCTCCGAGGAACGATCGAGGAGGCCCATGGGAATGCTCCCATACGGCCCCGTGCTGCTGGTTGCTTCGTTCAGAGTGGTCGTGCCTTCGGCGGCCACGGGGTCTTGTTGAGACGGTTGCGAAGCCGCCGCCACCGCCGCTGCAGATTCCAAATCTTCCGTTTCTTCCCCGTCTTCAATTCCCGCCTCCTCCACATCGCTATCGCTATCGCTATCGCTGCCACTGCTGCGTAGTGTTCTGGACAGAGGATTGCAGGAGACGAGCAAACGAAACAGTGCACAAAGGACGGCCGATGTAAGCTCTGGGGCAGGCAGCACCGACACCACCTTCCGTCGTGGATGGCGAAATAATTCATCCGCACACCCCCGTGAAAGGGCAAACACCGGTGTTCCCATCGCTCTTTACATACTCAAGCGCTGGATTGACCCAAGCGTGGCGGTCTCGCTTTCGTGTCTCACACCAAGCATCTGGCGGATCACCTGTCGCCTAAGCTGCCGGTGTTGTTCTCGATAGCGCTTTCTGCCACTGCGGCCTTGGTTGCGGCATCTGTCGCGAGAGCTCCCTGCACGGTACCCGGGAAAAACGGAGCGTACGCAGAGGCAAAACCGTCGTGGAGCTCCCACGGTAGAGGCGCACGCGGCAAAATGAGGCCGCGACTGGGACGCAACCGCTGGTTCCGTGCAAGGAGAAGATATCAACTGCGGTGACACCGCCGCGCTAGCCCTCACGCACACACGCACCTCACGGGGTCCCAGATCATGGCCTTTTATTTTCGTTCTTACCGCATTTGAGACTGACGTCTTGTCATTGGTCAAACGCGGCCCATGCCCACAACAAGGCCACACACACGAAAAAACATACGTGGTCGCTCCACATGTGATGTGCAGCCCGCACGCCTTGTTCCATGGACGTTGAGGCCAGCGCCGGGTAGCCGATCACATCCCCGCACGCGTACACTCCTGCCTGCGCCGTCTGGTAGGAGTCGTCGACGTTCAGCAGTCCGCGCTCGTCCGGGTCCACCCCGATCGCCTGATTTTCGTCGCCGCCAGCGGCAAGCAGCCCACACGTCGACGGCAATCGAGCACGAAGAGACGGATTGTCGCGGTGTGTGGGGAGGGGAGGGGGGGCGTGCTCTTTTTGTTTTGCATGCCTTAGCGGTTGGACCATTGACCAGTCATCCTCGACAAGACGGAGCATTGTTCCCACAGGACAGATCACCGATGATCAATCGCGGGATGGGGGGGTAAGACGAGGGTTCCAAATGCCAACGTTCGACGCACGCAGGCTGCCCGTTGCCGGCGCCTAAGATCGCTCTGGCAAACCGATACGCTGCAACCCCGAGAGCGCCGAGCAAGGTAGGCCAAGCCGCCACCGAACCTCGTCAGAGAAGAACAACATGTATGCCTCAGCAGCTAAAAAGATCTAATTCAGGCCATCCCAGATCAACCTTCTTGTTAACACGTATACGTGGCGGGCACGCCACGCAAAACACGGCGCTCCACACAAACGCAATGGACGCTAGACCATCCCACAAACCACCCTGCTACGTGCCGGCACACGCACCTCCAAGTGCAGCGAGTCAGTGTTTCCGAGGCGTCCCATCGCGTACAGGAGCGCGTCCCCTTTTACCCGCTTGCCGCTGAGCAGATGGGCCACCACCACCTTGCCGTCGGCCATCTTTTCCACGCTCTTCACCTGCGGCAGAACGTGCGCGTAAGAAAGACGTGTTTTTCTCGTTGTTTTCTTCGCACGTCACGCTCACTTTGGTGCACTTCCACACGCGGGTGGGTTCTACAGTAGCTGTGAGAGACGAAGCATAATAGGCGGAAAGGGGCGTTGCGGAGTTGGTACTTCACGGGGGCTCGACACTGCAGACAGACAGGTCTAACGATGATAAGACTACCAGGAACAGAGGAGCCAAACGAGGCGGCCACACTGGGTACTCAACTGCACGCGCACGCAAACAGACGGCAAAAAAAGGCTTCTGTCTGTCGGGTGTCCAGCACCACATTTCAGAGAGGGTGCGGACTAACACCACCACGCCTATCTGCGCCCGCCGCGTGTGCCCCAATGTCCAAGACCGACCTTTGCCCCCCTGACCGCCTGCCCGTACCTTCTCCCCGAGGAGAAACCTGGCGCCGTTCTTCCGCATGGAGTAGCACAGCGCCTGCGTGACCTCCCGGTCCGCGAACCCCAGCACCTCGTCCCTCGGGTCGATCACCGTGACTGTGGTGCCCGGAATGACGTTGATCATGCTCGCGTACTCCATGCCGATGACGCCGGCCCCCACGACGATGAGGTCCCTGGGCACCCTGTCTACCCCTCCCCACAGCAGCTGGTCGGAGTCGAAGACGCGGGAGCCGTCGAAGGGGACGTCCGGTCGCCGGAGCGGCCGCGTCCCGCAGGCCACCAGGAAACGGTCGGCCGAGAGGGTCACGCTGGGAAGGGACGCCTCGATGTGACGGTACACGCTGCATAACGTGTGTCGTACGCATGTCATCGAAGTTCGGGGCGGTCAGGGGCCGGGGGGGGGGGGG